GCACTGTACCACAAGTGTCTCCCCTTGGGCAAGAGTTCCTTTTGTACTTGGATGATGCTCTCTGGTCTACATAATGGTCAGCAATTGTATTTGTTATCATGAATTATACAGGCGTTTGATGAGTGTTACATACCCAAGTGCCCATAATGCACCAAAGAGTCCAGACACCAGCCCTAACAAGCTTAATCCTTCTTCAAAACCATTCTCACTGCAGAAGGAAAGGCAGAAGCAGGGTTATTTCCAAAGACAATATTTTCATTCTCAACTACAAAATATTTTAGAAGGCAGTAATCTGAAAGATAATACTTATAGAATCCTAAAGCAGTGACATCTGCAACAGAACGGCTTTGTCTTTAAGTGTAGAAAAGAAAAATACCAAGGATTCTCTTTCTCCTCAGTTGAATAAATACAGCATTTAAAATCTTTTCAATGATTTGGTTACACACTGAACTCTGCCATGGTTTGCTTAATCGTGACTATTTCTGGGATTGGCCAAGGGCCACACTTAATGTTATTAATGGTCGAGGGCTGTATCAGATATGTGGGTTGGCAATTGGGGGGCATGGGGGTACTTTGTTTAAATGGATATGGCTTTGTTACATTCTTTTTTAATGTGTTTTCCAGTTCAAACAGCAGGAAATTGCCATTAGCTTTCAGCTATCATAAATGGGGAACACCAAGGCCAAAAAAAGAATTCAGGGGCCACATGTGGCCATGGATCGGGGGATGATTACTCCAGTTTATTGAATAAATGGAAGTTGACCAAGTATGTGCAACACATTAATCCATTAACCATGGCATGCAGACCTTTCCACATACAGATGCTGAGTGGCATGATGATGCCTTGTGTTGGGTTATGTTAAATGGAAGCCGTAGATGTATCATATGATAAGCAAGACTGGTCATTCTCCAGGGCAGGGTGAGAGAGAAGAAAAGGCTTTTCTAAACAGCGGCAGAGCCACCCCCCTAAATCATAATTTGGTTTAAACCAGAATAATCATTTTTGTATATTTAAAGCAATTCTAACATAGTACTGTAGTTAATTACTCTAGCCCTTGAGATCAAAGAATAACATAAACATCAAGAGAAGATAACTTACTATGCACAACTGAGCATTTCAGGAAATAATGGCATGCCAATCATCGCAAGAGCAAAGCCGATCAGGATCAACATCAGAATGAAAAGCCAAAGCTGGCTGCAAAATCATAAGCGTAGACACAGTGCTTCATTTCAGCTGTAATTCATAGTATGTATGTATGTACTCTACCTACCTACCTACCTACCTACCTACCTATCATGGCTACCCAACTCACAGTGACCTTAGAGATTTAGAGTCTGCCACTTTTTTTTAATCTCTTAAGTGTCATTTTCACTGGCTGCAATAACAGTACATAGGCTCCATTCTGTTAATCGGCACTGTTATGTTAAACTTCTCCTGTTCCACGCTGGTGCTGGCTAGATTCTAAGCCAGTTTAAGAATATTCTGCCTGCACTCTGGGTTGCTTTAGTGAAGATTTCCCAGCTTTTCAATCAGGATTGCCAGCTACAGCAGCCCTCCACTGAATAATTCCCTGGCTGCTAGGCCCTCCCAACTTTCCATGCCAAGAAAGTAATTGACAATTGTATATATTCATAAAAATATATCTATCTAGAGTTAAGCTAAATCTATACAAACAGTGTTAAATTGTCAAAATATGCATGTATGCCGATACAACCACCAACTTTGAAATAAATAAATAAAAATCCTTTCTTGCATTTTCCCAGGTTTGGCTCAATAATGTCTGACACAGCTACTGTTACAAAAGTCTCTCAGTAGCACAGTTCTTATAACATGTGACTGACATGCAGAGATTCACTGGTTCATAACTCAGCAGACGCTTTTTTCTTTTAAATTACTATTTTTCTTTTCCTGAGCTACCCCCTTTACTATTGGGCTTTTTAAAACAAGTTTACTGGTACATTATTTCATTATTTTTCTGTCATTCAAGGGAGAAAAGTTTCACCCCAGTTTCCAAAATATCTGGAAGGGAAGGGAAGGGAAGGGAAGGGAAGGGAAGGGAAGGGAAGGGAAGGGAAGGGAAG